GCAGGGTCATGGCAGGGATACAGGCAAGGTCCTGGCAGGGCACAGGGCTCCCAGCCCTTCCCCGTGCTGGCAGGTGGGGCTGCCACACATTCCCAGGCTGGGAAGGGCTGTGTCCCAGCAATCAGGCTGCAGCACACAGCTGGGATTTATGGGATTTATCCAAGATATGGTTGCCGCCAACCCATTCTCATCCACATTACAACGAGGAAACTGAGGCACTGAGGGACAGCGGGACAGCTCAGCCCAGGCCATGCACAACCTCCCTGTCCTCAGAAGGATCCCCAGTTCTGCCTCCACCCCCTGTGCCTCGGTCCCAGTCCCGTCCATGCCGCAGGCACGCAGGCAGGGCTGCATCCATGCATCCCGAGGGTGCATCCATGCATCCCGAGGCTCTCAGCAGCACACGGTACCTCCTTCTCCACGTGCCCCACGTCTGCAAGAGCCTCCTCTTACCACTAAAGATGGGGCTGGAGGGGCAGGGCAGAGACACAGGAGAAAAGAGAATCAGCCCCGGGGCCACCGCTGGTGCCACCGCCCCGAGGACAGGATGCTCGTGTAGGTCCTGCATAAACACCTGGGCGCCGTCAGAAGGATTTGGGGACAGTCCCCGAGCAGAGGGACCGCGGTGGGGGCTCCCGAGCGTTACCTGAGGCGTAAACACCTGTGGGGCTGCGCGTCCTCCTCATTCCAGCTTGGGGGGGGATGGAGGGATGGAGAGGAGGAGGAGGAGGAGGGTGAGAGGGAGGAGAGAGAGAAGATGAGATGTTATGAGAGGTGGGGGAGATGGGTGGGCTCAGACCCCTGAGGGGGGGTTGGTCCTTCCCCTGCCAGGTCCTGGTTGGTCACAGAGCCCAGGGAGGAGCCCCCGAAGCCCTGAACTCACCTGGGGGAGCAGGTGCTGGTGCAGAGGGTTACTGGGGTTAAGAGCATGAATGTGTTTAGGACTAGTGAGAGGTCCATTGCTTTCACTTGGTTTTGCACCAAAATGAGCGGCTCCCAAGACCATTGGATTATGAACCAGGTGCTGCTCATCCCCAGCAGGTGCAGGTGCTGTTCATCCCCACACCTGCACGCTCAGCCCTGCTGGTGTGGAATCATGGGGGAAACTGAGGCACGGGGCCTCTCCCCACCTAACCCTGGCGATGTCCTGGGGGGTGGCAAGCTGGGATCTCCTCTTCAGGGAAAGGGGATAAGGGACAGGGTGCAGAGCAGCCACCAGCAGCAGCAGGGCAGCCTCAAGCCCTCCGTTCCCTCCTCATGGGCTCAGGGAGCCCTTCCCAGCCCCAGGCTCTGGGATTTGCTCTTTCCTGGGGCTCCATCCTGCCAGGATGGCACCACTGCCCCTGCCAAGGGGTTTCCTGCCACTCTCAGTTGCCCTGTGCCACATGGAGAGGGCAGCAAGGTGACCCCACAAAGGTAAAACAGCCCAGAGAGTCCCCTGGGATCAAATCTGCCCCTTCTGGAGCTGGAATGGAGCTGGGTGTTGGAACTCAGTGCATCCCTCCGGGTGTCCAGAGTTGCCAGGACCCCACCAGGGGGCTCAGAGATCCTGGCACACAGCCCAGAACACCTGGGGATTTGATTTTCACCCCTGGAGCACGTTACCAGCTTTGTATGAGAACCTGGAAGTCACAGAGCTTTGAATAGTATAATAATAAAATAATCACAGGGTGAAAATGTAGATTTTAGGATTTTTGGTGTGGGTGTTATGGGGACAAGATGGAGGAATCTGGGCATGTCCAGCCTTTCTCCTTCTTCTTCTTCTTGGTCTCCATTTTTTGCAGTGGTGTTGGCACTTTGGGATTGGTTTAGAGTAGAAGTGCACTGTCTAACATAGGTGAGAGGTATTGGGAATTAAGTATAAATATGTTATATTATATATATATATATAAATAGTATAAATATATCTTTATATATACTATAAATATACATTTATACATATATATAAAATATATAAATAGATATGTATTTATATATAAATATATTTTTAACTATACATATTATATATATATTTCTCTCTCTCTATATATATATATATATAATAAATAACATAAAAAGACAACACCACCTCGGGGGTGGTCAGAGTGCCTGTGGCTGCCCTGCTGAGCAGATCTCAGCTGGGCAGAAAAAAAAAAATTAAAAATAAATAATTAATAAATTTAAAAAACTAATAATGTAATTAATTATTTCAGGTAAAGTAATAATTAAATTAATTATTTCTATTATATATATATAAAAATAATAATTTCATTAATAATGAATAATAATATAATTATATTAATTATATTATTTAATTATAATAATTATAATAATTAATAATTTCATTTATAAACAACTTCAAGACCAAAAAGTGAAGAGTCTAGACTTGTTCTTGCCTGGCAGTGACAGTGACATCTCAGGAGGGCACAGAGGAGCAGAGCAGACAGAGCAGAGAGGAGGGAGAACACGGGGGCTGCCCCCTCCTACCTTTCCCCTGCACACACGGCCAGGCTGAAGCTTTTCTGGGCGGGGGTGAAGCAGTGATAGGGTGGTGGGGCTCTCTCAGGCCATTTTTTCACCTCTGAGTTCCTAAATCCTCCGTTGCGGACCCGGTGCAAATGCTCAAATATAAGGACCAGCTCTCTGAGGTCGGGGTGGAATAAAAAACGGGGAGAAATTAAAATTTCCAAAGCAAACGAAACCGGCAAATCGAGGCTGAGCAGCTCCGGGTCCTCCTGAGCGCAAACCAAAGCAAAATCAGAGGAAAACAAAACAAAAAATCAGCATTTTTGTTCAAAAGATGGATTCTTAACTGAGGGTGATGGGGCTGGGGAAGGGTCCTGGGAAGGGATTGAACAGAAGGAAGGGTTGGACGTGCTGAGGGGGATGGATTAGGGAAGGACAAATTGGGGACAGGGTGGGGACATGGGGACCTGTCACCATCAGATGCTGGGCTCCAGCCAGACGGGGAAAGCTCAGAGCCAGCAGGGATGGAATCTGGCTCTGTGGGAATTCCACTGCTCCTGGCCCAGCAGGAGGGGCAGCAGAGCCCCCTGAGATCCCCAGGATCTGGGGTGATGCTCGGGAAGCTGGGTGTCATCTCAAACCACGACACTGGGACTCAGGGCTGTGAATATTGAAAGCTCTGCCTTTGGAAAAATTGAAAGTGGGACAGAGGGATGGATTTGTCACACGGCCAGAGTAGGGCAGGCAGGAGGGCAGGGATGCTCGCAGGGATGTGGGAAACCCTCAGGATCTGGAAAAAACCTTTGGGAAGCCTTTGACCCATCCACAGTGGCAAAACCCCAGGGATCACCAGAGGGACACACTGCAGGAACGGGGCATTGGGGCTCCCAAAGGATCCCCCCGTGCCCACACCTGGAACCAGCTCCTGTCCTGCTGCAGCTCCACCAGCACAACCGTGGGGTCCCCGAGGCGCCTCCCCATTCCCTGTGCTGCTGGAGGAAGGCTATGGATGGAGTGAGAGGGGATGGGATGGGCGCTGTGAGGATGATGAGGGTGAAGGAGGCTCCTTCAGCAGACTCCCATCCTGGAAGGTGTTGGCGCTGCTCGGCCCCACCGAGCTCCTGGGGGTTCCACACGGTCCCTCCTGTTTTCCCAGGCTGTTCATCCCCACAGGGACCCCCGGGAGCCCCCAGCCCTCACCCCCTCCCGCCTACCTGAAGGCGGGCAGGAGGCTGTCGTAGTAACACCAGGTGGCCGTCAGGTACCCCCGGCTGGCATCGGTGGAGTAGAGGCGCCAGGCAGCCTGCAGGGAGTGACATTCCCGGGAATTGGGGTTAATCGGGATGGGAGAAACCTCCCGGACCCCTCCACCCATCCTGGACCCGGTAGGATGTCAGTGCTGTGTCACAGACATGTTTTCTGAAAAATCCTTTCCTTAGATTTTTCCTCCTGAGAAGCTGAAAAGCCTCAGGAACAGAATGCAAACAATGATTATCTGCTGCTGTGGAGTGCAACAGGTGCATCTGGGATTGGCCTCATGTGGTTGTTTCTAATTAATGGCCAATCATAGTCCAGCTAGCTCGGACTCTCTGTCCAAGACACAAGCTATTGTTATAATTCTTTCTTTTTCTATTCTTAGCCAGCCTTCTGATGAAATCCTTTCTTCTATTATTTTAGTACAGTTTTAATAGATTATATATAATATATATTATGATGTATAATTTATATTATATTATATTATATTATATTATATTATATTATATTATATTATATTATATTATATTATATTATAATAATTTTATATTATTTTGTAAAATAATAAATCCCTAAATAAAAAAACCCAAAATAAATAACAACATAGTTAAAAATGAATAAATAAGAAAATAAGAAATAAATAGTAAAATAAATAAGAAATTAATTAAAAATAAATAAATAATAAGAAGAAATACATAATTAAACAAATAATGAAATTAATAATATTATTAGAAATAAATAAGAATATAGTTAAAAATAAATAATTAAAAATTAAAAAGAAATAATTTTTATAATAAAACATAAAATAAAATAATAAATATTAAAAGCTTTCTGAAACATGGAGTCAGATCCTCATCCTCGGACCCCAGTGAACACGGTCACAGTGCTGAATGTGGGGCCGGGAGTTTGGATGGGCAGAGCAGAGGAAGGGACCGCGGAACATTCCCGGGAAGGGCTGGGCTGGGACAGGCCAGCCCTGCCTCACCTGGATCAGGTTGGCCGCTGGAGTCCTCCTCTTCTCAAAGTGCTTCTGCCGATGCTGCTCCTGCACCTTGAGGGCGAATCCGGAGCCCAGGATCCCCTGGGGACAGGAGGGAACAGAGCCATGAGTGCCAGCACAGCCTGAACCCCACACAGAAGGTGCTGTACCCCTTTTCCCCCCTATTTTGGGCTCTCCCAGCCCTACTCACAGCGGGCAGGGCGAAGAAGGAGATGCCGAGCAGGGC